CGGCGGCGCTGGTCAGTGAGAAAATCACTGCCGTGCCTGCGTGTGTCTGGAACTTCTTCGCAAGCCGGTACCGTGAGGTTGTTTTAATATTTTTTTTTGTAAATCACGCATTCGGATGGACAGGAAGGTTGCAGCATCAGGGTAGGGCTTGCCTTAGGAGTGACTGATCAGCTGTAAGATGAGTGGGAGCTGTGGCAGAGCTGTGGCAGCTGATTTATTTATTTTTTAAAAAAAAACCACCCTTGTTTGTGTGTCTCTTCTTAGTGCTAAACTGCTGATTCAAAACTTTTCTTGGCAGCTGGGGAAGTTGAAGATCTCGAATTACAGCAGCAAACAGACTTTGCGTTCAGGTGTGTGCGATGGCTGTGATCTGTGTGTTTTTAAAACTTAATCTTGGTGACCATTTTTTTTCCGAGTTCTCCGAGAAACTTTTCTTATGCAAACTAAAAATAATTTGTTCAATATGGCACATCTTTAAATTTATTTACAAATTAGGCTGTCTCCTCTGTTCTTAATCTCAACAGTCGTTTATCTGACATACATATTCCTGGCTACTTCTTAAGTATTTTAAAAGCATGTGTATAATATTTGGCAGTCAGTGAAATTAGTAACATTAGATTAACATCTAAACGTGTTGAATACTATAGAAAGTAACATCTCAAACTGTATTTATAATGTTCTCTTCTAATCTTTCCTCTCATGTTCGTCTAAAATGCCTCTTTGACTAATCATGATGCTTGAATACAATTACCTTTTGATCTTCTAGTCTGGTTCATGATCACCATTGGTTTGCATTCGGTCTTTTATGGCTGAGGAAATAGATGTAATCTATGACAAGTTAATGCACTCAGGTAATTTATCTGAATTGCAATTTGGCATGTTGGGTCTCCATTTCCAAGAGTGAACAATGCTAATACTAATGTCTAAGAAAAATACTATCTGTCTTGAAAATTCCGGTTCTTTCAAGGACTGCACAGCAGACTGACAGCTACAGAAGCCGATAAGGTTCCCAGAAGAGTCAATGCTCATGAGAAGCTGTTGATGTCCTTCTGGACACAGAAGGAAATGAGTTGGGATGTCTTGCATATATGATGTTGTGGGCAAGCGAGAGAGGAAGAATTTTTCAGCAAGTAACTCCATAATTCCGAAAGGACAGAAATTCCACTATTAAATAGATGTCGTGACAGCCTATCTACAAATTAAGTGCTTGCCCAAACTCTTCTTTGTGTTCTGCAGAACATGTGCGATATTATGAGGAAGGTCTTTAATTCAGTGTCATATGCATGTGCCTTTCACAGAAGGTGAACATCTTTGGAGTCCAGGTTGTCAGTGCAGAACGATCTGATGCTGCTGCTTTCATGCTTGCAGTTTTCTAACTGAAATTGACTTATTTTTATTTCAGAAATGGAAAATCCTGAAGGGGCTCTGAGCAGCTGCAGTGCCCACGCTGATGAAAACCTTCGCAGCTACAAACGACACCTGTCAGTATCACAGGAGGGGCTTTTGGAGGACCAGCTTAGAAGGAAATTAAAATTTTTCTTCATGAACCCGTGTGAGAAATTCAAGGCCCGGGGAAGGAAACCTTGGAAACTTGGGATTCAGCTACTCAAAATAGCAATGGTAACTATTCAGGTGAGTAACTAGTGAAGCAGGGACCCTTCTTAGCCCATGGGAATTCACATAAGCAGTGCAGGGGACAAATGCTATTATTGGTGTGGTGCAGAGACAGGGAGAGGATGGACTGCAAAACTATTTTAGTTGTGTATATGTAGCTTAAGTCTCAGATGGCATAGTTTTACCCTAAAGCTGTTGACTGAAAGATAGATTTTTTTAAGAGTGGAGAAGAAAGGAACCATATTTAAGAGCTCTACTTTACTTTTTACTTACTTTTTTTTTCTTTTCTTCTCTTCTTTTTTTTTTCCCCCCCAAAAGATGGCATCCTTTACACATCTGCTCCCCCCAATACCATCTTCAGTCTGAGTTTGTGTTCAAGGGAAGGGACAGTCACATGGATTTCAATATCACAAGTGATAAGAACTGAAATTGATAGCTTTTTGCTTATGCCTTGTGTATGGTATAAAAAATTCTTATACTGAAAAAAAAAGAATTTTCTTCCTCAGTCTTTCTCTCACCCAGCCCTGCACCACAAATTTCATACAATATGTTTATCTGCTGCCTAAAACACAACTGTTTGTCTCAAAGTTCTGTGGTTACAGAGGAAGAATGCCTTCCCTAAAACCTTCCTAACGCCTCAGTGGATGATCCTTCAGACTTGCCCGCATGTGATTTACATTTATGGCAGCGTCAGTGCTATCACAGTACAAGTATGGAGAATAATATTTTCCATAGTTGCATGAACAATGGGATAAACTACAGAAATAATTCTTTTGCTGTACATCTGGCAGTATGTTTGTGTCCTTTACTTACCGCTTTAGTTTGAAATGTATCATCATCTGATCGTCATCTGTCCCATTTTGCAATTAAAAATAAAATGTGATGGTGAAAGAACCTAAATAAGAAAGAAACTAGTGCTGATTTAGCCTTTCCATAGAAAATCTGCGAGCTGGTAATTCAGTCTTAGCACTGTTGATTTGCTGGTGTGTTCTGGCATGCCTAGCACACTGAGCTCACCTGCAGAGCAATTTAATATCTCTGTAACTGAGTTATCCTTATCAACACCTACATATCCAGTTTGCACCGTGGCCATAAAACTAATCTGTAGACTACTGATTCAGACTTACCTCTGATGAGTTTTTTCACAATACTCCTGACACTAGATTTGAAACAATAGTCACTTAAGAGAATTGCAGGCTCCAACAAACAATACATCACATTCTTCTAGATACCTTTTCCAGGCTGGATAGTAACTAGCAGGGGTTTATGCTAACTTTTCATGAGCAATTGCAATATATAGTTTTTTAACAGCTTCAGAGGTTATCCTGTTACAAGTAAAGTTTTGATCAGTTATTCTCAAAGCACCTTTCACCCAAACCTAAGGGAGGGGTGTTTGTTTTTCAAAGTTGTCCTCAATTTGCCTTTTCTGCACTGGAGTAAGGACTTCAGAGTGGGGTCTGGTTAAGTCCTGTCCTGCCTTTTTGGCTGAGGTACACTGATATTCCCCAAGGCAAGTCTTATTAGTGTCAGGCTGAACTAACAAAGCAAGTGTAACAGTATATGGGTAGCTTGAATTTGAGATGGTGTCCTTCTCTTTGTAAAAATGCGAGTCCTTGGCCAAGATGCTGGTAAACATGTAAAAGGAACATTCTTGAAACCCCTTTTTTCCTAAAGTCAAACTTTCTTTTGACCAGCTGTGAAATGGAGTAACCTGTATGTAAGTACGGGTTCACCAGCATGATGGAAGAGTGGCTGTTTGCTTCGCGTTAATCCTGGAGCCAACTTTGTCTTCTTTGAACAAGAAATACAAATGTCTTTTTCAGCTGGTGGTTTTTGGATTGAGCAATCAAATGGTAGTTGCCTTCAAAGAAGAGAACACTGTTACATTCAAACATCTCTTCTTGAAAGGATACGTGGACAGAATGGATGATACCTATGCTGTGTACACGCAAACAGATGTCTATGACCAGATATTCTTTGCAGTGAATCAGGTGAGGATGGGGGCTGCAATGTATACAAAACATGTCCTCTTTACCTGGGTGTCTTTCCTTCTTGCATCTTACCTGATGGTGTCTGAAACTGAACTTGTGTGCCAGTTGCTTAAAACTAGACTGTTGACTTGTTCAGATGTTTTGTCATTGTCAGAGCATTGTACTTGTGGTGACATCCGTAAAGCTAATCAATATACTAATTCTGTACTACATGCAGGCCTTGGATTTGAGCCTGAGTGCTTTGCAAACAACAAATTAGGCTTTCTAGTAAGGATTGTAAAGAAAAAAAAAGAAAGTAAAAAGGTATTTAGATCCAAATCCTGCACTTATTTTTTTTGATCAAATTCCTTAAAATATTATAGGACTCAGCTGTAGCGTGGTGTAAATTTCTGAGTTCTTTAGGTGACCTTTTAAATAAAAAGAGGTGGATCATGGTGTGTATCCAAACACTTCTGTTTGGGTTTTTTTGTTATTGTTGTTTTTCCAGAGACTGGCAGTGTTGGTGCTATCTAAGCTGGTTTGTCTGTTCTGAACTTTAGTACTTACAGCTGCCCAATATTTCTGTTGGAAACCACGCCTATGAGAAGAGGGGAGCAGAAGAGACAGCTCTGGCCTTGTGTCAGCAGTTCTACAAGCGAGGAACCATCTGTCCTGGAAATGACACCTTTGATATAGACCCAGAGATTGTGACTGGTAATGAACCTAATCTATTGTGTCAGTTATTTGGGAGGAGGAACATTTATGGTGAATTCTTATAAACATCCAGTATTGTATAGTCCTGTCAAAGGATCTATACTGAACGTGCTACCAGCCAAAACTGGCAAGAAAACTGTGTAACTAGTCTCTAGCCCTCTGCCACAAAGAGATGAGCTCTTAGCATCGATGACAATGTAATACAAGTATTTCTGCGTAATTTCAGGAGTCTTCCCTAGAATTGGTGATGAATAACCTGGCCGGTTCAGGGGAGCCAATGTATTTGTTGGCTAAGTTCCCAAACGACTCCTCACTTAAGCATGCTATCTTGTGTGGTGTAGTCAGCAGCTCTTTCCACCCTCAGGAATGGGAAAGGCAGATTACAGTTAAAGGGCACGATAACCCATGAGATACTGTTGTGAGTACTTATCCATTGCAGACTGCTTGTACATTGAGCCAACGACGCAGCTGAACAACACAACAGTGGGGAAACACAATTTGAATTTCACACTGGATTTCCACAGGTGAGGAGGAATCAGCAGCTCCTGTATTGGGGTATTCATGCATTTTCCCAGTGAAAAGCTAACCCAAACCTCTACTGCAGGCTGGTGGCGGTGCAGCTCATGTTCAGTCTGAAGGCAATCAACCTCCAGACCGTTCGTCACCACGAGCTCCCTGACTGTTACGATTTCACTCTGACGGTACGTGCAAGCCTGCCACATCTCTTCCTCTTCAAAACGAGAAATTGTTCTCCCTACTGTACCATGCCCAGTCAGTGCAGGTGTTTTCTGAAGAATGCTGAGCACCACTGAGGGATCCCCAGTGGTGTCTGAGTTACTCCGTCATGGCTTAGTGTACCCTGCAAAGAACTGCCAGGTGTGACTGTGGGAGGTTAAGCTCTGAGTGTTTATGAAGTGGTCCTCAAGCACTCTCCTGGCTTACAGCCTGTTGTGCTCTAACCCATCTGAAGTATAACAAAAGCATAAACCTCTTCTCTTTAGAGAGAAGCTTCTTTTAAGAAAGTTTGGGTTGTGTTTTTTTGTTTTTTCTCAGATTATAGGGGAACGAGGCTGTAGTTTAAAAGAATTTCACCTAGTATCTAGTTGATCAAGCAATTTGTGGCAAATACATGGTTCACCAGATTTGTCTTTGACAGAATTTATCTGAATAAACTGGAATTACCTTAAGCTTAAACAAGTTTCATAACCTCCTCTAGCACTATTTTATGTTAGATCATTATGGAAGCTTAGCAATACAGTGTGCTACATATGGACAGTTTAACTTGAAAAAGACATGCTCTTTGTTTTTGTTGTTAATACAGATAGTGTTTGATAATAAAGCACATAGTGGAAGAATTAAAATAAGGCTAGACAACGACATAGCAATCAGGGAATGTAAAGACTGGCATGTTTCTGGATCAAGTAAGTGACATAAATGTGTTCAAGTTTTCATGCTAAACTTTCGCCACGCTAACACAATGTTTGTTAACCTTTTTCTTTATTAAAGGCACTTTTAACATACATTCTCTGTGGATGTGCTCTAAACCCTGATTTTCTAAGAAGTTGTTCTTCCACCTCTGATCTGAAAGCCTGGGAACCCAGACACACTGTTACTTCCCGTAGCAGTTCTCAAACCTTGCACCACTGATACTGTCAAGCCAATATTTTTCCACACCTCACTGTGCATCCTTTTACCTTTGGCTACTGAGCTTACACTGCTCGTTGCTCCAGGTAGGGCTGTGAGCAGTTCTTCTAGCACCAGGCAACAGAAGGACACATGGTAGTGGTGGAAAGTTGAAACTGATTCACTCTTATTTCAGGACTTAGCACCAGGAAAGATAAGGAAGCTCTGTTGCTAAGGCTTGCTAGAGTGGAATAACTAGAAACGCTTCTTTCTGTTGCTTAAATATTGTTTGGTGTGTATTTGGGGGTAACTGAGATGTACAGCGTGGTTAAATAATCTGTCTTAAACAGTTACTCAAAAGAGCACCCTTTGTTGGCAGCCACTGGGTCTGGTCAAAACATTGTCTGAGATCTTTATTGATGAGACAAAATGATCTCTTTGAAAGTCAGAAGTTTTCCAGGACTCTATAGTCCACCTTTTTTTTTTTTTTTTCTTTGTCTTGAAGTAAGCAATAGGATGAATCAGGACCATTTTTCTACTTTGTGGCTTTCTCCTTTGCTTTGCCTATGTTAGGAAGAGCTAGTTGTGAAAAAAGAGTTGTTGGGTTGTTTAAAGATACAGATGGGAACGAATTTTGGGGAATTTAGTGAAATGCATCACAGAGTAGAAAACACACCACTTATGCCAATGCATATTCCACTAACCACGTTTTCAGCTAGCTTCGATAGCTGCCGTGTTACGAGCGCACAGCAGATGGCACGCTGCCTCCAACAGACGGCTACTGCAGTAGCGCAAGAAGGCTTTATATACCAGGCTTCGGTAATAATTCACATTTGATACCTATGTAGATTGCCTCTGTAACAGTTTTCAGAATAACCTCCTTGGTTACCCTGTATTATTTTCTGAAAGACAAGGAAAAATACAAACATAATGATTGCAATTGAACAATAACAAGTTGTTGCTGTTCTGAAGTACACTGCAAGCCAACTTAAATAGCAACTACGTGTTAGTAACTTTGCTATAAGCAAGAAGTAGGCGGGTGTTTTCTGAGGAGTGCAGTTTGTGAAGTCAAATAAAATTTCAGTATCCCATTTTGGATAAGTGCTGCATCTTCTTGCAAATTTAGCATTAATTTGTTTCAGTTATTTTTTTCCTCAAACAATCACTCCTCTAGTATTAAAAATCTAATCCTTATACTGTGTCACCTAGTGCCAGCTGCATGGTAGGTATAAAACCAAAAAGAGGTCTACTGGTAGATATGGTGCAAAATTTGACCTTAGTTGATACAAGAATGTGAATTTTAGTAACAGAAGGGTTGGAGAACTCATATCTAGCCTGATGCTGGTCTTGGCTGGCTGAGCAGCAGTGCAAATTATCTGCACTGGTCTAGGACAGAAAACCTATTTGATAGTCAAATACTAGTCAGAAAGAGAAGATATGTGCTGTAAAGTTCCTGGGAATTTTTAATTTTTTTTTGTCTAATTCTATCACTTCAGAGGCTATTTCCATGCTTGTAAAATGGACAATAACCACCTCTATTTCTGTAGGGCTGTAAGAAGCACTCACACTCTGGTGTATTTTTTGTGTAGTATCAGTCTTCCTAAAGTAACTGAAGTAGTATCTGCAGTGCAGATGCACTTGTGTCTCTCATGAAAATACGTCAGACTTGTGTGGGAAAGTGCTGAGATTTTTCTTAATTCAGTTGTATAAACATAGCTAATGTGAAAACTTGATTGTTACTTCAGTACTCAGGATGGTCAACAAGATCAAATGCATCTGACTATAAACACATATATTTCTGTTCTTCCAGTACAGAAGAACACTCATTACATGATGATCTTCGATGCTTTTGTTATATTGACTTGTCTGGCCTCCTTGATCCTCTGCACACGATCAGTGATTAAAGGAATTTGGCTCCAAAGGGTGAGTATAACCCTTTCCTTGGAAAGTCTTCACATCTTGTGTAAGTCTGATGAACTTTTTTCTTTCCTCTTTTCCCCTAGGAATTTGTAAGCTTTTTCCTAAATAATTATAAGAAAGAAGTATCTTTCAGTGATCAAATGGAATTTGTCAATGGATGGTACATCCTGATTATAGTTAGTGATATCTTAGCTATTGTTGGATCAACTCTAAAGATGGAGATACAAGCCAAGGTAAGGTTTTTACACTGTCAGGTGGAAGCAAAATTGATTTTTTTCTACTCTAGCTAGGTTTCAATCTCTCAGAGGATGTTAGGCTGGCTATACATGATTCTGAGTGGCATAAATTTTTAAAGCTATGTTTTCTTCTCTGGAATTATAATTGAAGCGCATTATTTCCAGTTGTGACATTTAAAGACTCCAAATATCACTACATATTATAGGTCTAATTATCTTTGTTCCTTTGTGATTTCAAGGAATAAAATTAGCTTCATCTCTGAAAGTGTAAGACTGTTGACTCTTCCCCATTTAGGACCACTTATACTTACTTACTTGGTGGATTTTCAAAACATTCAGCATTTAACTTTGTTTCCCATTTAACAAGGCTTTAACTAGCACAGAAATTCTCTCCTTAAACATCTCTTTGCTGCTTTCCCAGCTTCTGGTTTCCAGCATGTACATAACAGTCAGCCACAGCCAGGTTCTAGGACTTCAACTTCTAAAATAAACGTTAGATAGAAAAAAATATTTTAAAAGTGTATTATGTGTAGCCAGAATTAGGGAAGAAAAAATATTACAATATGCTGACCTGAAGCACTCAGATAATGTTGTTCTTCACCAAATCTGTAGTAGACTTTGAAGTGTGACATTGCAACACAACAGACTTTGGACAGTAGTGATGAAAGGATGGATCTGAAATCCATCTGGTGACAGCTTAACTATCATAAACACCCTGTACAAATTGCCTTATCTTACCTTAGGAACTATAAAATCAGGTCTTAGGAGTATACAGAAGCTATGAGGAAGCTGGCTAAGATAAGAGATAATTCCATCCTGCTTTTGGAGAAGTGAAGGCCAGAACAAGACTGGAGTAAGACCTTGCATTTGGGATTCCAATATCTTTATATATAAATACATATATTTTATATATGTTTCTTTTCTAAGAGAGTATTTTACTCTAACTCTTCTTTACAGGTACATTTCACTTCATTTTGCAAGCCTTGTTGACCATAATAGCAATATCTTGTTCCATGTTACTGTGTGAGAGTTAATGGCTGAATAACAAGTTCACATTAAAGTAGCGTAAACCTGATTTTCGGCAAGTTGTATGGGAATTACACTAGTATAAAAGATACTAGTGTTAGTAACTAGCCAACTAGCCAACTCTTAGAGGAATAAAACCAGAAAATAGTGAAAACTTCTTATTCAAGTAATCTGTCATGATCCATTTCAGAGTAGAGCTGCAGTTCAGGGAACAGGGTATTGGTGGGAAATAACAGCGAAGTACTAATAAAATATAAATGAAGTTCCGGTTAGAACTGATTAGAAGCTAATTAGTCTTCTCCTTGGTAACTTCCTACAACTCACAGTTCCCAGCTACTTAACAAGATCCTGCTTAGTGTTTATCTGAGCTCTGCTGACAAGTCATGCTATTTTTTTAAAACGTTTTTGTTTACATGCTGGAAGAACTTTCTTACTGTTTCTTAACAGATCTCTGTGGTAATGAGAGTTGCAGTTTAGAACCTGTCAGTTTTTATAATATCTGATTTTTTTTCTTCTGTTTTTCGTCTTTTTTTTAGAGTCTGACGAGTTATGATGTCTGTAGCATACTCCTAGGAACCTCCACTATGCTTGTGTGGCTTGGAGTCATTCGCTACCTAGGTTTCTTTCAGAAGTATAATGTAAGGATCTCCTGGGATCTTCGTGCTGTTGGTATTTATTCAGTTTGTTGCTATAAGAGGGCTGGAAGAAATGCCTGGTTGGATCTTAACTGTTTGCATTGCTTTGTGCAGCTTCTCATCCTCACACTGCGAGCAGCCTTACCCAACGTGATGAGGTTCTGCTGTTGTGCTGCTATGATCTACCTGGGCTACTGTTTCTGTGGGTGGATTGTACTGGGGCCATACCACGTGAAGGTAATGTACTTAACGTGAAAAAAGACAACTCAAATAACAGAATGAGAGATTACTACTGTTGTTTTCTAGGGTTCTGTATCAAGGCTTCCCTTAACATAAAAATAGTGCATCTTCAACATGACGCTGCTGTGTTTGAGGAGTCTGACTTCCATGACTCAGTCAGACTTTCCTCAAGTTATGAAAGCTCTGAGTCAGAAACAGAAGCTGCCGTGACTTCCAGTCACATGTTGGCATTTTGAGAAATAATTTTCATCGTGCAGAACACTGGTGTCAGACTAAAGCTTTGGAGACTTTATCCTTACTCCTTTAAAAAGTGAAATTGGCATATCTGAATTGAATGTGTATGTGTACAGGGGATGACAAACTTTGCTCATTCCTTAAATGTTTTATTGTTTGAACCTTCTCATACCCTGGGCGTACGAAGAGATCTGAGGCAGCCAGTCATCAGCTGTGTATCTTCTTCATGCTGTGTAGTCTCTGGATTCAGACAAAGCAGCAACAGATCTCCTTCTCTCCCTTCTAGTTTCGCTCTCTGAACATGGTTTCTGAATGCCTTTTTTCATTGATCAATGGAGATGACATGTTTGCCACCTTTGCAAAAATGCAGCAGAAAAGTTACTTGGTTTGGTTATTCAGTAGGATCTACCTCTACTCCTTCATCAGTCTGTTCATCTATATGGTGCTCAGTCTCTTCATTGCACTCATTACAGATACATATGAAACTATCAAGGTAAGCATGGGCTCTTACTCTTCATTTGGAATAAATATGCAAGATTGGTGCTATCAAGACTCATCTCCCTCAATATTTTGACTTGCAGTGCATGCCAGTTTAAAGAGTAAACATAAGGGCTACTTTTGTGTGTGTAGAGT